TCGGGTTTAATTTGCAATAGCTTGTTTGTTTATAAACATTTTTTAATTTAGAAAATCTCATTTGAAAGAACAAATATTTTCAAGACAGTTGTCTGTTGAACGTTTTTATCTAAAATGTGTAGTTTTTTCACAATATTGAAATTAATGAATATAAGTTGCTTTTTTTGTCCCAGATATTTCAGTTAAAAATGCTGCTCACTAATTTTTCAAGTGATTTTTCGACTTCGTTTCATGGGATAATAAACTAGAAAGAACTCATAAATTTAATTTAATTATTTATTTATTTGAATAAAAAAAAAACAAAAAACTATTTATTTGTTAATGTAGATAAGTGACTTAATTGATTATACAGTTGTATAATTGTTTATTTAATATTAAGCTATATCCCTAACTTATGCCTCGCCGTTTAGTTAAGACTGTGGCGCACCCAGGGGTTTTTTGGAGGTTAAACCCCCCCAGGCCATATAAAATAAACAATATACAGGGTGAGTCATGAGGAACTTTACATACTTCTACCATATGTAGAGTTCCTCAAGAAGCATATCATGTGGCCACTAAAAAATGTCAACTCCTCTTCTTTATTAATTAACAGGGTGATTTGTGTAATTGACCATTTATTTGATTTTACTGTAGTGTTTATACGGCTCATTTGATTTTTTTAATTTTTGCATGATACAGTACACTACTATCAAGCATTCGACTGGTATTAGCTAAACTAAAAAATTCCAGGACTGGCTTTGACAAAATTAATTTAGGGATTCGTATTAAATATTACACCCTGTATATATATTTTTTTAAATGCAATAAGTGATTTTCAAACTACATAAATAGCCAATGAAAACGACATATGCGACAATGTTAAATTTTTAGTGAACGATCAAATCTTACCAAAAATAGAACAACTATAATGAAGTATCAAATTATAAGGTATTAATTTAAACAAATATTATAAATTTCAAACATTTTAATTAAAATGAGTTCCTACAACATAATCTAATACGTAGAAAATTAACATCTTTACTGTCACTTTGTATTATCTCTACGATAGAATCAATTGTTTTTCAATTTTAAATTTTTACTCATAGATCGTATTGAGGCATTATTTTCGATAAATAATAAATTAAATTGATTAAAAAGTCAAACCTCTTGTATGTGCTAGTTTTTGTTGATTGTAAATGATTAAAATTTTATGTCAAATAATAATACATTGCATCAACTGTACTAAATAAAAATAAATCTAACAAAGTTTAAAATGAAGGTTGGCGTTGACCGTTTGACGTTTCTTGATATTTTATACCCATTGTCATTATCAATTGTTATTTATGTATACAAGAATACATATTTCTTCTGTCATATCTACGTTAAGTACATTGTGTTAGTTTTGGTAGAGCTTTTGTTACTTTCGTTCAAAATGCCACATCAGTTTTCGACCACAGAATATGCAGACATCATATTTGTTTATGGACTCTGTAATGGGAATGGTAGGGCTGCTAGTAGAGAATATCGCAGGAGATTTCCTAGTGGAACAACAGAGTGACATGTAGATGAAGCACAGGAAGATGACATTATGGACGCCGTTACTATGAACCCTACAATAAGCACTAGACAAGTAAGTCGAGAACTCAATGTTACTCAATCAAAAGTAAGTAGAGTCTTACAAAAAAATAATCTATACCCATATCACATACAAATGGTTCAGCGACTACATGCTGGAGATGAGATCGATAGGTTGGAATTTTATAGATGTTAATCCATCTACAAATAATAATCGACCAACGCTATACAGGACACGCTATATAGGTCTTTTATAGTAACTTTTTTGATGGTCCTTTAACAGGGCAGGTCTATTTGAACTTTCTACAAAATATTTTGCCGAATTTGCTTGCCAACGCGAACGTTGCTATCCGAGGGATGTATTTTCAGCATGATGGGGCACCCCCACACTTTTTACTGGCAGTGAGACAACATCTCAATATTGTTTATGGCAACAGGTGGATAGGACGTGCAGGTCCTATTTCGGTGCCTTCGAGATTCCCTGATTTCAATCCCGTTGATTACCATATTTGGGGACAATTGAAGCAACTAGTTTACGCAGTGAATATTAATCACCGACAACAATTAATTGATAGAATTATACATTGTTGTAATACTATTAGAAACGATCCCCAGAGTATCCGTAATTCAATACGTCAATTAACAATTCGGCAACAAGTGTACAGGCTGCAGGGTTCCATTTCGAAAATCTATTTTGAATTATTTTTATTTTGTTACCATTATTGTATCTTTTCCAGTTCTAATTTATGGGTTTATCATAACAATGTACATATTTTTAGTTTTTTTTTATTAAATTGTTCTTCGTTATTATTAGTAGTTACTGTTTTTTGTTGTGCAGTGACTCAGTTTATGATTTCAATTAAAATTTTTGAAATTTATAACATTTGTTTAAATTAATTACCTTATAATTTGATACTTCATTATGGTTGTTCTATTTTTGGTAAGATTTGATCGTTCACTAAAAATTTATTGTTCCTCATGACTCACCCTGAATAAAGAATAGTAGGAAAATGTAACTTGTCTTTCACACACAATACAAAAAATCCAAACCACTAATTGAACCCTGTGACTGTAAGAGAGATAATCGTAAGACGACGGGAAGTACGAAGGGATCGAATAGTGTTCACAATTACATCCGAGCAGTTATTAAAAAGAAAGGAGAAGAACAGAAACACCAACCGGGCCAACGACAGAGATAAGATCTTATTACTATTTTAATGGGAATAAGCTGCAATTGAAGGTTAAAAAAGTTTATTGACGTTTGAATCTTTGATCTTGAACTGATAACTTTGTTATACTCAACAATTAATAGAAAAAAAGAATAGCGGTTGGTACCGAAGTACATCTAGCCATCATCGACCTAGGAAAGGCGTAGGATACAGTTCCAAGACTTAAATTGTGGCAAGCTTTACAACAACTCGGCATTAGTCCATACCTTTTAGAAATAATCACAGAAGGATACAGGGATAACAATACTTACCAAAAAATCGGAAATAGACTATCAGAGCCAATAAAAGTAACTAAAGGACTAAAACAAGGATGCAGTATGTCACTCTTACTGTTTAATTTATATATTAAGGCAGCCCTCTAAAATTGGAAAAAACGTTGCCAGGGAATGGGAATCCCCGTAGGAAATTACTTGAAAACTTTGCGGATGACCAAGTCATCCTAGCTCAAGATTTTTATGATCTAGAATTTATGATAAAGCGTCTATACAGAGACAGATAAATGGGGCTACAAGTCAGCATAAAAAAAACAGTATATTTAGTTATCACTGTAAAAGAAACATTTAGGTGCACTCATTGATAAGAACGGCTTGGGAAAAACCGAAATAAAATACCGAATTAATCAGGGATGTAAAATTATAGGATGTCTGAACTCCTTATGGTGGGATCACAACATTTCCAAAAGGAACAAAAAAAAAGGGCAAAACATGGTTGAACCAGTTCTTTGTTACGGCTCTGAAGTATGGACGCCCAAAAACTTCACAAATGGAAGCCCCCTGGAAGAAAAAAGGTAGATCACGACACTGATGGAATGAATGAATTAGAAGAGCAATGGAATCGAGAGGTTTGGATGAGGAGCATGCCTTGGACCGGGAGGTTTGGCGGAGGAGAACAGGAATATGGCGGCAGACGACTACAAAATGTATTCTATTTTGTAAGTTGGATTAATGTCAAATGTGAATAAACTTATTTAACCCTTTCAGGACCAAAGACGAGTTTACTCGCAAAAAATTTTCGTGCCGGTCGGACCGGAGACGTACAAACTCGCATTGATGGAGGCGTATGTAGGAACCGAAAACTATCTGATTTATTGACATTCCTCTATTGGTCAGATTAAGTTGACCACGCCCCAATGAAAAAAATATGGAATCAACAATTACATTCCTAGTTTTGGCGCGCTTCAAGCGGAGACACAGAGAATATGACAGTGAATCACGCGGGTCTAATAGGGATGAGTACTATTCATTGAAATATGTTCAGAGTTTTGGCGCGCTTCAAGCGGATACACAGAGAACATGACAGTAAAGCACGCAAATCTAATACGGATGAGTACTATTCATTGAATTTTGAGAATGGCTATGACGTGATCCTTTGTTATTAGTTTTATGTAGGAGCAGTAGGAGTTTCAACTTGTTTGTGCAGTAATTTAGTGTTACCGTAGATATCGTATATATAAGAGGTTATCGTTGGATTAATAATGGCTCGTAAATATTTGACGGAACAAGAACTATATGATTTATTAAATCAAAGTTGACGATGAAGATTTTACGCTTCTGGAAGATCAGTTTGACGGTTGGGACAACGACGATAGTGAAAGTGATTGTGAAATTGCAGAAAATAATTTAGTACTAGCCAAAGCTGAGGTATTTTGTGACGAAAATGGTTTAGATACTAAGAAGAATCAACCTAATCAGGAAGATAATCCACCACTTAGCAAAAAAAAGAAAACATAATATAATAATGAAAAGCTGGAAAACAAGTTTATTTGGAGCAAACTTGACCTCAAACCTTGTTAGAATATTTTGATATTGATTTGATTGATTTTGATTTGCATCTCAAAACTTATTTATTTCCATAAATATACTTAAAATAATACTAAAAAATATAACTAATTTTTTTTCTTATTAATAATATATATTTCGATTTTGATTTTCCTCTCAAAAATTATTTATTTCTATAAATATACTTAAAATAATATTAAAAAATATATCATAATTTTAATTCTTATTAATAAAATTATATTTTGATTTTGATTTGCTTCTCAAAAATTATTTATCTCCATATTTCATACATAAAATAATACTAAAAAATATAATATCTAAAACCGCGTTTGTGGACCAAAGCCGAATAAACTCGCAAGCACGTCGGCTACGGTCCAGCGAGCACAACCGCTTGAAATCGGTGCGGTCCTGAAAAGGTTAATTAAACCTTCAATTGTGGCTTAATCCCATTAAAATAGTAATTACTTTCTAAGTTAGACATGACAATGTCTAACTTAGAATACAGGGAGAGAATTGTAAATCCTGTGAGATAAAGGATTGACACAGACAAGGGGATGCTCTGGCTTGCCCCCAATTTAATATTGCCTTAAAGTATCAAAATGATGTATGAAAAACTAATTGAGCTGAATTGTCCATTATTGCCTGTCAATTTGAATACAATTATTTTTTCAAATAATAAGCAGATATTAAAATGTATCTACGAATACATAACGTCCAGTAAATTTAAATTATAAGTAGTTTTAGGTATTCAAATTAAAAATTGTAAATATGTCAAAAATTGAATGTATATACTAACATATTACTTCCTGTAAATTTATATTATAAATAGGCTTAGGTAATAAATCAAAAATTGTAACTACCACAAATAGTCTGGCTAATTGGCTATGCCAAAGCCACGAATTAGGGATGGCGGTACTATTTACAATAGATCGATACAAGTCTTAGCATATGCTGATGACATTAACATAATAGGGCGTAGAAAGCGAGACGTTGAGCAATATCTCATAGAATTGGAAACAGCGGCGAAACAGCTCGGTCTAGTCATCAACGAAGACAAAACCAAGTACATGTTGGTTACAAAAGATCCGATAGCAAATGAGGAACGAGAAACAGTCTTTGGAAGTCATACCTTTGGACATGTTGACAACTTCACATACCTTGGGTCGCTATTGACTGCTACTAATAAAACAAGCGAAGAAATCAAAAGACGAATAAACCTTACAAATAGGACATACTATGGACTTCAAAAGCATTTCCACTCAAGAAACATTCAAAGAAGAACTAAAATTATTATATACAAAACATTGCTGAGGCCGGTCCTCACATATGGAGCAGAAACATGGACACTAACGCAGAAAGATGAAAGACTTTTGGGAATATTTAAGCGTAAAATACTCTGCAAAATATTTGAAGCTATAAACGTCCAAGGGCAGTGGCGCAGAAGATATAAGTTTGAATTGTATCAGCTCTTTGATGAGCCAGATGGCATAACGTTCATTAAAACACAGCGACTTAGATTGGCTGGACACATAATACGAATGCCAGAGAATACGACTGCTAAAAAGCTAACTACAGGAACACCTGTAGGAAGAAGAAGCAAAGGCCGACCGCGAATTAGGTTGTTAGATGGAGTTGACAGCGACTTACGGATATTAAAAATCAGAAAATGGCAACATGTTGCCAGAAACCGAACAGAATGGCGACGAATCTTAGAGCAGGCCAAGATCCACAGAGGATTGTCGAGCCAAAGATGATGATGAAAACCGAAATTTTAGGGACTCAAAATGGATGTAGCATAAAAAAATTTCAAAACCCCCTCAAACAAATTCTGGGTACGCCACTGAGTTAAGAAGAAATACTTTTTTAAATTTCATTGAAAATTCCTACTAATATTGCCATATATGAAAATGGCGTCTGCAGTAATAAATATAAGGGTTGCACGAAACCCTTAACTTTGAAGCAGATATGCCCCCTGTAAATTGATCTATCAGGTTAGCACATTTAAAAAAATATATGATGGATTCTGTGAAAATCCGTGGTGTGGTAAATTTGTTTTTTTTTTTCGTAAATTTTTTTCACTTTGCAACTTGGCTACATGAATTTTGAATTATTGCAATAAAAATAATCAGACGAATGTGAAATCGAGACTAGGATAATGATGTGGACTTTATATTATCCGAATATACTTTATTTTTATCCTTACCACCGGCAATACTATTAGATAAAGCTATAAAATACTTTAGCTAAAAGTGAAACGCTAAGAAAGACTCAAAATACAAATACAAAAAGAACAAGATATGACAGCATTTTGTGAATGACACATCATCTCATAATTTATGGGATTTTGAAATTTGTAGTCGAAAACATCATAAAATATTTTTAATCACAATCGTGGTTTATTGTAAAAAACAGAGATTAATAAGAAAATAATTTTATATGAAACTTTTCAGTGCAAAAATAATTAATGTCTTAAAAACATAGGCAGGCTGTAATTTGTCCAATCTAAATTATTGTGTATACTATCTGTTTTTAGCTAACTCATTATATTTTTAATTAATTAATTTAGTTTGTAATGATTTAATATTTGCTGAGTAAATAGATAGTGGTCTGGAATTATTTCTCACTCGCGCTTCTGCCATTTCAGCAGTCACTATCGGCAACAGATAATTCAAGAACATGCCCAGACAATGAATCATTCCAAACAGCAGAAGTGATAATAATTTAGTTTTTATGTCATGTTCATTTTAACAGATATTAAATTGGCTACGTAAATAACTATCTGTTCGCACGTTAAAATATATTTATCAGTCTAAAAGTAATGACTAGAGCTAACAACAATAATAATTATAAATGTGATATCATGACATATACAAATATGTGTCTGAACACAAAGACACAGGTCTCTTTGAACCCTTCTTCCCACTTAACCCCGCATTACTAAAAGAGTTACTTCTTCTTTTCATAACACGTATAGAATCTGCATGGACGTGCTTAGCGTTTTTATGCTTGTCTTGGTCAAAAAACAGATAGCTATTAGATTGGTGCAGAAATTTGTTAGAACTGTACATTTTATCACTGGTCACATACTTTGGATGCAATAAAATACTGTCAGGTGCATTTGGCTTCTCATAATTAACTAAAAAGAAATATAAAAGCGATAGTCTAATCTACATACACAGTTGGATTTATTCTTTAAAGCAATCTGATACATGAACAGAGACTGTGATTTAATCGATCCATCATTTATTTATATCATTTTTCTGTTATTAAAATATTTTTAAATATTTATTTAAACAATAATTCATGTCTAGACAGAAATTGCTTTAACTGGTGCTTTTACAGTATTTATTCATTCTATACTGGGTTTAAATTCAATCTATTTTTATAACATAATCAATGACAAACTTTCCTACAAAGAGTAATACCCCAAGAGCAAACTGGATTTACCAAAGTTAGAGGTACTCGAGCATAAGACAAATAATAGAAAAACTAGGGATTTCAATATTCCACTATACATTGGTTTATAGATTATTCCAAAGCGTTTGACTGGGTAAAATGGCAACACTTTTATGAGGAGAGAGCCTGAAAAATGGGAAAAGTGATAAACAACCTAAATTTTGCAGACGACCCTTATGCCCTATAAGTACAGGGCATAAATCACAGACCACATGTATCTGGCTAAATGGCTAAGTGCTAAGCAGATCACAGCAAACTGATTGCATGTAAATTTACTTTACAAATTACAAGGTGTAAACACCTGCACTCATTTTATTTTCATTATTTCTCTACACTAACCCTTTAAATTGTTCTATCAAAACAGTTCTGTTCAGGACCAACAATTTTGACGACCTTCCTTTAATATCAAGGAAGGAACTATCTAGAGTTAGGAAGTGATATTATTTGACAAGCATGCTAAACACAAATGCATATCTGGTATGGAATTATTCATTGAAAGACAACACGAAAAATATTGAAGTGTTCTGAACCGAACAATGTACAAACTCTCAATTTTCTTTACATCAAATTTCTGTGACCTTTGTATAAAAACCTCCTGGGAAAATTTCACTTTAACCCATTAATGCCCAAAATTAAATTTTTATCAAAATTAAATCAAAACTTCAGAATGAAATAAGGAGAGGTTATTTTTAATAGTAATGTGCAAAATTTACGGTTTTTTTCTTTGTAACTCTCTTTTTTTTAACGTATGATATATCATACGCTGGGCAATGAAGGACACAATATTTCATAAAACATTATTTATTTTAAAATTTTTACAACGTGTGATATTTGACAAAACATTGCTCGGGATGAAGTCCTACATTACATTTAATGCATCGATATTTGGTACACTTGCCACATTTGCCGCACCTTCGTTGTTTTTCAATTTTGTCCACCAAATGACCCACATTATCCAAACGAATTTCGTCAGCAACATTTTTTGAAGACTTTGGACGTACTCCACGCGGCGTTGGAATATCTGGAGCTGTCAGCAGGGCCTCCACAATTCGCCTGTAAAATTCTAATAAAGAAATTGCCTCAATGTTGCGGTAAAGAAGCCACATGTTGACTATTGCCCCATTCAAGCAAAATCTAAATATCGCCCAATACCATTTTTTAGATCGAATTCGAATCCTATATAAACCTCGTAGCTTATCGAATAAGTCTACACCACCCATTCCCTTGTTATACATTTGCACAACGTTTGGTTGAGGGCCGCTATAATTTTTCTGTCTTTTCTGGACCATCTGTTACAGTTTCCAATAGTAAATACTTCTGGAGTTGAAATGTTAGTTGCCATAGTAACTTCATTATTGTCATTCCAGCGAACAAGAGTGGGCTGGTGTTCTTTGCTACGTAGAGCGTGGGAAGTTCCACAAATTTCTTTTTTTATTTCTTTGAGTGGGGCTCTTTCAATCCTGTCTTTTCTAATTGTTCCGATACAGTGTATCTTTTGATCTCTCAACCTTGTCAGTAAAGGTAAAGATGTAAAAAAATTATCAATATATATAACAGATTCTTGTGGTAAAAACCCTATACACAGCTTTTCGGTTACGGAACTTCCTAACGAGTTACCCTGTAATTTATCTCCACTTCCAGTATAGGGATGAAATTTTGCAAGGTAACCTTTACTGGTCGCAACGCACCAGAATTTATATCCGTAACGGATGGGTTTTCCTCGAATAAACTGCTTCATTGAATGATGTCCATAATACGGCTCCATAGCTTCGTCCACTGAGAAACTTCCGTTCACTGGCTGGAGGTAATTATGAAAACGTTCATTTAGATGGTCAATTAGAGGTTGAATTTTGAACGCTTTATTGTTTTGTTGGTACAACGTATTATCGTTAAAGTGTAAAAATCTATGAATCTGTTCAAATCTGTTTCGACTCATAGTGTTACTTACTAGATGTGAGTGAGAGTCCCCTCGACATTCCCAATACATTCTCCTAGAAGGCAATGGGTGGCATCCAGAGAGAATAAGGATGCCAAAGTATTTATATAAATCATCAACGGACAAAGAGAAAGGACAAGATTTTTGTGAAGCGTACTTTACCGTTTCTTTACAAAGATAGTCCATGAATTTTTCATCAAAAAATAATTTAAATACATCGATTGGCTTCACATTTTGTTGTTTCCATTCATTTATTATTTGGGGTTCCATATTGTTTTTGAAAATATCATTTATGGCTCCCTTTTCCAGTTTTTTTTCTTCCCACTTACGATCGATTCTTTTTATAGATTTTTTTCTGTTTTCAAAATCTTGTGAAGTTTTTGCAACCTCCCTTTTTCTTTTGTTACCTGATTCGTGAGTTTCAGTCACCGTTGTATTTGACAGCACTGTTTTCTCAATTGCTGTATTTTTTCGAGAAACAGCTGTAATATCCATGCTTTGAGACAGTGTACCTCGGCCAATACTTTGAAAAGTGTAATTGAACTGGTCTTCCTCATCACTTCCGGCATCATCTCTGTCAGAATCATTTCCGTCATTTGGATAATGCAACGTAAGTTGAACTTCGTTACACTGGTCAATTTCCTGAGCCAAAGTATCGTCATCTTCTAAACTCTCATATATTTTTAACAATTCCTCTGCATCTTTGGGATTATTCGGATCATATTTTTTCGTCATTTTTTCTAAAACAGAAACAATATTGATTAGTTGCCACGAGTGCCCAGCGTATTATATATCATACGCAAGAATCAAAGACCTTCAAAATACTTACTGGTATAAATTTCAATACTATTTATATCACTATTCGTTATTTAGTAGCCTTATGAGTTGATCACTACAAAATATTTTTCAAAATAGATCGAAAAAGTCCCACAAATTCTCCTAAAATACAATCGGTGTACTATAATATAACCTAACAAAACTTAGCGCAAAACTAATCACCCTTTACCGCCAAGCGGTCATAAATTTCTAATTTTATGATAAACAGTTACCTTCCAACATCTATTCTGTAACTTAAATTGGGAAAACAACTAATGTATACTTTTTTTTCTGACTAGTAGATGGCGAAATATGTAACAATGTATCGCGTATTATATAAAATACGGTGGGCATTAATGGGTTAAAGTAGTCAATGTTTACTACCATGGCACTAACTTCATTCTAGGTGATTTAAATTGTCAGAGTACCGTATGGCGTTACCAGAAGACTAAAAGTAATGGGGCTATATGCAGATTAAGGACAACCACAACAAAAACAACAACGACGCTAACGTCGTGTTTCATCAGGTGAAAGGGAGTATACAATTCAGATATTTTTGTATCTAGAAATATTTACATAGATACAACATGGCATTCTTAGCATTCAAGACAAACCCATGTGCGCTATGAAGGCTCTAGTAAAACTGCAAGACCTAATTTAAAAAGAAAATTAAATTTGGCAAAAGCAAATCAAAAAAAAATTAATACTAACTTAAGACTGTTCCATCGTTCAATAGCTATCAAAAGGTAACGATGAAACCCCTTTTTTTGTTATGATACTCACCCAAATAAAGGTATATTAATTTTTGCCATCTCAGACAGTTTGAACTATGATCAAAATTTGCAACTTGCTGAACATGGCACATAATCATAAATCCGATTTGAAACTATTGAAGAATCTTAGCCAACACCCAACTGAAACAACTAATACTTACTAAATGTCGCTGCAAACTCCCTTATAATTCTAAGAAAAGAAACACCTGGAAAGAAAAACCCACAACAAGAGGAATGAAACCAATTAGATGATGCTGAGCTTAGATCCGCCAGCCACATCATGAAAAATAACAAAACTTCTGGTATTGATGACCTGTTTCTAGAGGCAAATCAAGAAGTTTGGACTGAAAACATTAGAGTAGTCATTAGAGTAATCATTAATTTATGTCTGAGACCCACACGTGGAATTTTAGGACCCATTTCATATATGCATATTGGTTTAATTATGTTGTTCCATATTAGTAATTAGTTTTCAACAACAAAAATCATGACCAATTTGGTGCCCAACCAGAACATCAGTATTGGTGGAAAAGAAATAGAACTCGTAGATAGATATAAATACCTGGGACATGAAATTATGATTGGCAGAGATAACCAGACTCGTGAACTGAAGGGAAGAGTCGGCCTTGGGTGGGCAGCATTTGGAAAACTCAGAGAAACTTTTAAGAGTGAGCTGCCCACATGCCTAAAGAGAAAGGTATTTGATCAGTGCGTCCTCCCAGTCTTGACGTACAGAGCAGAAACACTTACCTTAACAAAAGCAGCAGCTACCAAACTGAGAGTCACGCAGAGAAGAATGGAGTGGTCCATGTTAGGAATAACTCTCCGAGACAGAATAACAAACGAAGACATCAGGAGAAGAACCGGAGTGACTGACATAATCGAGAAGATAGCCAGACTAAAATGGAGATGGGCAGGACACATAGCCAGAATGACAGATGCATTAGACAGGATTATTGTTCTTAATAATTACTTACAATATTCAAATATATACCTAGAAAGCAAAACAAATAAATATCAGATTTAACTTTAAGACAATCCAACTGTATATAGATCTAAATACTAAATAAAAGGAAGATTCAAAATTATATTATACTACTAAGTGCATTCCCATTACTACACTTACCAAATTGTTTGAGGATCAAAGCCACCAATGAAATCAACTGCAAGCACATTTGTATATTGATACCATAATTGATAAAAAATGTCATTTAATACACATATATTTGGTTATCTAGTCATTTCAGACATACTGTTTACTTTCGGGATATTGATTAAAATTAAAGCAGTACAAAATAAATCACCTAAATATTGCATCAAGCCATCACATCTCAAATAATATAAACTTCCGGTAAGATCAAAGTAACTTTAATTCTTCCCTTTTTTTGCTCATAAACTTTTCCGAGCCAATATAATTTGTTTTCATTCAATTTTATATGGTTTGTCCAAATGTTTGTAATTCTATTTCCTTCATTCAATCAATCCACATTTTCTTCCTTAGTATTATTTCAATTTCTAATATTGTAGATGCTTGTCTCCCATTTTTTAAAAATTATCTGATATGCTTGGATCATTTATTACATTTCAACATATAAATAAGCGAATTGCATATCACCTACAAACTATGCATTCTAAATGTGTCCAAAATGTTATTTTGCCATCTCCCACAGCGGTAGGCATTATAGTAACATACTATAACGGCTAAATAGCTGATTATATTTCATTTCAGTTTAAGTTGCCACAAGTGGTGAATACTTTGAAAATATAAGAATATCTTTTAAGTTCCCAAATATTATTCTTGTAATGATATTTTTTAACAATAGAATGTTAGTCAAAGAGTGTAACTACTTATAGATTAAAATATATGTTTACTTACAGGTATCATCTTCCTCCATGAACATACGACTAAGACATATTCCAATGATGCTGTTGAAGCCCTGCGAAATTAAAAAATTAATTAGCTTTAAAAAATTAAATTATTTTCTTAAATGGACGGTATTTTGCAACAACCGTCTAATACTAGATAAAAAAAAAATGATATAAGCCATATCCATACTCATGGAGGCGTTTGTGAACTAAGTTCTAAACCACATTTGTCAAATAATATGAAAACAGAAATTTGTAAAAATAGTCTAACTCATGTTTTCATTATAAGTGGATTATACGCTTGTTGCAAATCTTTAGAAAACATCTTTGGAAAACAATGACCAAGGTAGAGAAATAAGGACACGCATTGAAATTGCAAGACAAGCATTTATAAAAATTAAAACAATGTTTGTCAATCGAAACCTTCCTCTGGATCTGAGAATAAGAGCCTTAAGATCTTACGTGTTCTCGACTTTGTTGTATGAAATGAAAGGCTGGAGACTAAAAGTGGATAATATAAAGAAGTTGGAATCATTTGAGATGTGATGCTGGAAGGATTTTGAAAATACCATGGACCCAACGAGTTACAAATGCAGAAGTGTTAAGAAGGTTACAAAAGGATTGTGAGGTCAGAAAGCACAATTTCGTTAGAAAATTATGATTTTTCAGCGCATTCGGTTTTCCTTATTAATACGATACCGAATGTGTATTGAAGAAAATGGGGGTCATTTTGAACATTTATTATAATATCATCATATTTATAGAGGATATAGACATTTTTCGTACGTGTTAATTCATTTAAGCTATTTATTATTTAGTTGCTCGTATTTTTTTTAAGGTTAATGAAAAGTGAGGCAAAAAATTTTAAAAATAATATCTTAAACTAATGATGCCACAAAATTCATTTGATTTGAACGTACTCAAAAGTTTGGGGGGATTTAGGGCTGCACACCCCCCTTAAAATTTTTCTGTGCGCTTAGATTTTGTTGTTTTTTTTTATGAAAAATGCTGTCACGAACAAGACAGTAATGTGTCCATTTTTATTACAAATTGTCAAGTAGTTTAGGAGATAATGCAAAAAAAAACAATTTTTATTTTGTAACTTCAAAGGGCTGTAACTTTTTTTGTACTAAGGTAAGTTGGATTCAATCAATTTATTTTTGTCCCCGAAATGCGTGATTTAATTTATGACATACTTCTATGAAAGACCCTGTATATTACGTCATATCAGATGGAAGAGAATTAAAAATGCAAACGAAAAATGTCAAAATATATAGGTTATCCCATATAAAAAAACATAGGTTAGTATTATATTTCCTTAGTGAGACACCCTTAAAAAATTTCTCGTACGCCACTGAACGCTTCCATGTTTTTAAAAATTTTTCTTAATAAAGAAGATATTTAACCCTATCGTTTTCGACATTTTCCAATAATCGCCCTGTATCTGGAGTCATGTTGCCAGATAAAAGGAAAGATGGACCAGAAAGATCCTGGAATGGCGACCAAGGCAAGATGCATATCGAAGCAGAGGACGACCACCGACTAGACGGACGGATGATATCAAGCGCATCACCACAAACTGGATGCAAGAAGCTCAAGATAGAATTAGGTCAAAAATTTTACGGGAGGCCTACGTTCAGCTGTGGACAAATATAGGCTAATTTATGATGCCCTATATCTCGCTAATGTGGGGAGTGATTAATGATTTGATTAGGCAATCGTTACTTTCAACGATTAAAAGAAGTCATGACTACTTTTTTTTTATCTTCTCTAGTTTTCGGTATATCCCGTAAAACGTACTAATTTGGGATACCCTGTAAATGAGCTAGTGTAGACCCAACACCAATTAAGTCGAATTCCAGACAAGGCTGAAAATAATACTTAAAATCCGGGACTTTTTAATAAAAAACGGGCAATTTTTTTAACTAATCGATTTGCGACTTCAAACAAAATAAATGTTTACATAACATATTGCAACACAGCAGATTTGATTTAATGGCTTTGAAATGAATCATTCGATCGGATTTTAGTGTTCATAAGAATATAGCGCGAACGAAATCAACAAACTGAGTTATGTGTATACTTATTCATGCCCTATAAATGACTTACGAAAAAAAGTCCACAGTTTTAAACTGTTACTAAATCTCAAGATAAATAAAATGTATACGAGAAAATCAGCATTTTTAAAGTGCTCTTAGATTGTCACCTTGAAATAATCATAAAATCGACTATATTTTTATACAAAAGTGCTTGCACTACTCCAATTAGTATACACAAAATAATATAAACAAAACTTAAAAGGTTCTTTATTGCTTTTAAAGTGTAAATATCGGTCCAAAAACGGATATGTATATATTATCAATAAATATCAAGAATAGCCGGAATTTTGTATTAAAGGATCAACAGACCAAAATGATTTACTAAGTATGTGTTCGAGATACAAATCCGCAATTGCATATAACAATGACATATTTCATCTTCAATACCTTTGAAATCCTACAAGTGCCGATAAAATATATAGCCAACTACAGAAATTTCATTTTTCTTGTCAATATTAAATGTCACTGATTTTTACTAATAAAATAAATACTTAATGATAATATTATTATTAATAATTACATACTAAATAAAAAACACATAATATTGTTTAAACTAATGAAGCTTTTTAATATTCCAAAACAATATGGCGGAAATGTGTAAGTTAAATTTTAAAGTAAAAAAAAGTTAAATTTTAGTACACTAAATTGGCCATTAGCACTTAAAAGATTTAATTCTAACTAAACAAAAATGGAAAATTACTACTCGAATTCTGTCTAGACAATAACCTGGTGATTATGAACACACACTTCACACAATTATAAACTATACTATAGTGCAAAAAACAGAAGAACTGGATAAGAGACGAAAGGGTGAAAAGGAGTTATGAAATTGGTAGTGACCACTAAATCACATTCAAAATAAAAAAAAGAAATAAAAAGAAATGAGAACATAAACAAAAAACACAAAGAAATAATAAAAATTTGTAAACTAAGGGAAGAAACAACGAAGATAAGATACTCAGAAGAGCTAGAGAAAGAGATGGACAATGAACATGAAATAACAAACAAGAGAAGAAGAATGGGGAAAATTTAAAAATGATGATAAAAACAGCTAAATCAATATGTGGAAAGAGAAAAGAGAAATAAAAGAAAAAATTGTGGAAAGAATACAAAAATAATACAAATACAAAACACAACCAAAATATGAAAATTATAAGAGACAAAGAACAAAAGTTAAACAGATAGTTAAGAAAGAGAAAAAGAAAAGTTGGGAAAAATTCGGGAGAAAAAATGGAAGAAAACAGCACAGAAAACGTAAAATTATTTTATAGAACACTGGAAACCCTAAGAAGCAACAAAGAAACGAAACTAAAATAAATCATGAACAAGGAAGGAACAATAATAAACGACGATAAGACAATAATGGAAAGATGGAGGGAACATTTCCAGCTGTTACTGAATGGAAATCAAGCAAATACAATGGAAAAAGGAAGCCACATCAAGAGAGTATCCATGAGAAACATGGAATATCTAGAAACTACAGAAAAAGAAGAACTGGAAGAAATATATAGGCGTAAAAACATATACATGAAAACAACAAACACAGTAAGAATGTCAAAATATACAGTCAGAACCATTTGAAACAACTCGAGTTAGACCAGGGGGAAGTCTCAGCCCAGTGCTATTCATAAATGTAATAGATGATATAGTGAAAGAATGTAAGAAAACATTCAAGAAATACTGCATCGGTTGGAACAGAATGCAAATGATAAACGCTGAGATGTGTATATTTGCAGACGACATAGTATTAATTGCGGAAACAGCAGAAAAACTGAAATGCAACTTAGAGAAATGGAACCTAGAAGCAAGCAAATACAACTTTAACGTAAACGAAGACAAGACTCAGATAATGAAAATATCAAGGAAACAAGGGACGGAAGATCAACTAGAAATAATGATAGACCAACAAAAAATAATACAGACAAATTCATACAAATACTTAGGAACAGTAATCAACAACAAAGGAGACATCGAGGATGATCTTAACAACAGAATGGAAAACACAGGAAAACCATTCGAAGCACTAAATAGAGGATTCCTTAATAACAAAAAAATATCAACAAAGACCAAGGTTACAATATACAAAACAATATATAGACCTACAGTGGCATATGGAGCAGAAAATTGGATACTAAACAAAAGGTATCAAAGCAGAATTCAGGCAGCAGAGATGAAATACCTCAGAAGAACGATCGGAGTAAAATTAACTGATAGAATCAGAAATAAAGAAATAAGAGAAAGACTCAAAATCAAACCAATACTCAAGTCAATCAAGGAGAAAAAATTGGCATTGTTCGGACATCTAACCCGGATGGACAATAGGAAGAATAGAAGAGGAAGACTCATTAAAGAATGGAACAGTGACATCTCGCAGATACAACAGAGTAAGGGTAAGACTTGGCAGGAAGCAACACAGATGGCATACAATAGGAAGAAATGAAGAAAATTCGTCAAGAGCTAGGACACATCGGAAGATTGTAAAATATTGTAATATAAAGAATTGTATTATAAACGGCCCAACACCGAAAGGTACAATGGGTCTACTGATTAAGTAAGTAAACCAACCTAATATTTAATTAAAAAAGAAGGTAAAAATAAAGTTTCAAAATATTTAATTAAAAAATCTAAAAATTCAATTTTTTTCATAAGAAACATATTTAGTATAGCTATGGCAACACTGGTTAGAATTACACTTTTTGAAACGGTGGACTTCATTCTCAATGTGTATGTGTGAAGATAGCCACAAATAGCTGTCAATGAGTTGGATGAAAGAATATGGGTGTTTGTCAGTGTTGAAATGTCCTTATAATAAATCAGAAAAGAACATGTGATATATAATAATTAAAATAAACCAGGAGAGAGCATGCGATATATATTAATTTATTAAACATCGAAAACAAAGATAAAATGGTAAAATATCGAAAAAATATTACTTTTACTAAAAAATAAATAGTAAAAGTAAATAGCTTTGAAACAGTTTTTATGAAGTAAAATTTCAGTATAAATATTAAGTTAAATAGTGTCAAATATATAAGGAGATGTCAACACTGCCAAACGTTTATATTTCTTTCTGTGAAACTTAATTGACAGCTACTTGAGGCTATCTTCGCCCAGACCGATTGCAAATGATTTCCATTAGTACCATTTCTTGTCCGTCCACTATATACATATTATACAATGGCGAACATAGGCGTTGGCTTTTAAAAATACATATTTTAAATGAAAATTAGGGCATCTCGCAATTGCGGGCACTCTAACCTAACCAAATATATTTTCCTCAAGGCACTGCGTCACAGTGTTGCCGTATTTATTTTAGTAAAATATGTATATGAATGCTACAAATATATTTACTTTTACGAAATAATAATTTGTGTTATGAGAAGCTACAAATTTTAAATAAGCATAAAACTTGCCGTATTTTTTTTGTAAAATGTATATGAAGGTTTAAAATATAAGTTACTTTTACGAAATTATAATTTGTATTATGAGAAGCTACAAGATTTAAATATATTAAATAAATTTTTTATATCATTTTAATCAGTTGTATTGTATATGCATTTGATTATTATCTTTAATTTAACTAAAATATTTGAATTTTTATATAATTTCAATGCATTTCTATTATATACGGTAATTTAATTATTACTATTAATTTTTTATATAATTTTAATCAATTTTATTATATATGCATTTGATTATTATCTTTAATTTAACTAAAATCTATACTATTAATTTTTTATATATCACTTTAATCAACATTTGTATAATATTATGTGAGAGTATGAAAAAACTGGAGACTTGGCAACTCTGACACCATTTAAGCGAACGTTAAATGTCACCTAAATGCTTGGTTAGGTTAGAGTGCCCGCAATTGCGAGATGCCCGAAAATTACATATAAATCATTGTACAATCATCAGTTAATCAATCAAAATTCATTGATATAAATTTAAAAAATAAATTGAAAAAGTAAAACTGTACTTACAGTTAAAAAACATTGAATACCAGCCTGGACTATTTCTACGTGTACATAATTGATAAAACATCCCTCATATTCTTCAGAATCTACATTTTTAACTCGACATCCTGGACCTCCCGTTCGCCACCAACTGTCACTGTTTAAATCTAATTTGAGCACTTTATTTTTCTAGAAACAAATATAAAAATATTAACACATACATTATTTTACAATATTAACATTTTTATAAAAAATATATATTATACATACATTATTTCAGAAAATAGTACAATGTGAACGCCGGTCGCCGGACAGCCCTGGGACTGTCCGGCGAACTGAACTGCTTGAACACCGGAAGTCAAAAGACCGATCTCTCACTCAACGAACTTAACCAAGCTGTAACTTGTTTCTTACGAGGCTTGCGCAGTTGCAGTTTCCGCCTTTTGGGGGGAGACAATCCAACTAGTGTCTAAAGCCTAACCCACTATTCTATGCAGACTTGCGCAGTTCATTTGGATTCTTTTCTGAATGTGTCAAAGAGGTTTATATGTATTGTTGGTTGTGAACATTATTTTTTATAAATTAATAATATAATTTCTTTAATCCATCTGTTTAACCCGTTTGATAAATTTAATAATGTTTAAATTATAAAAATAAACCTAAAAATAATAGTCAATAATAGCAAATCAAAATTAAAGGTTTTTTAAAATAGTTTTAAAAAGTATTTAAAAAAATATTTTTTGCGAATTTTTTCCAATAAAAATTTGTTATTTTATATACAGGATGTTGACTGATGTTATATATCAATTACTATGATACCAACTTTCTTATTTTAAATAAAACATTGGTTATATTATAAAATTTTTGGATTTTGCACACAATTTCCAGAATTTTGTATGTTGCTATAACATTGCATGTTATAGTTTTATTTAACTTATTGTATTTAGGATACAGGGTGGTTAATGAATAGATCACTCTCTGCGTGTCTCCTTATGACTTTAAAAGGTTCTATACCTAATTTCAATAAAGGAGTTCATTTTCCTATCTCAACTTGCTTTTAATAATGTATATAGTACTCTATATGTACCCATATTCTTTTAAAATAGATATGTCAAATAAATGAAACCTGCCTATATTTTTACCAGGTGTAAAATGGAATGTACATAAATAGGTATCTTAAAGGATATATATTTAAAAGTTATTATAGAAGGGATTGTGCCTTTAATACATTGTATATTAAAAACAGTTAACTAAAAGAATGGCAATCCAATATATTAAAGTTCTTTAAATTTTGTATTGGATCCAATAACTATGGTGTTCTATCTAAAATAATAAAGTTGGCATCAGTATTTACATGACATAACACTCTGTATAACACATTTTTATTGGAAACGTATGCACAACAAAAAATATTAACAAAACCAGAGCTTTTCGAGGAACTATTCATTATTTAATAAATAATTTTTATATGTAACCAACTGTTATATATAATTGTGCTGAATAATGTATTTGGAAATAGAGAAATTATTCATTTATATATATTACAAAGAAAAGGTCTCTAAAACGTTTTTGAGCAAGCCAAAAAAATCACATTATAAGGCATGAATGAATCAAATATGTAGCACCTTTTTTGTAGATGTAATATTCAAAAACAAACTGAACAGTTATTTTTATAAAAATGAGGGATTTGTATAGCTGTGGCTATACTGGACTTAAAAAAATCACAAGTTCGTGATATGTATGTAATATGTAAACTGTTTTGTTCACTGTTAGGCTTGGTTTTGGATAAGATAGATCTCAATGTGTTTGTTGTTTTTTATATTGTTGAAACATTTAATTTACATTCTATCCGTTTAAGTTTTTCTGATAATCCTTTTATATATGGTATTGTTATTTTCCTCAAATTTTGTCGTGTGAACGTAGCAGGATTCCTTTCTGTTATTTTGTTCCATTTCATTTATTCTGGAAAATTCATTACTTTTAAACGACATCGGATAATCATTTTTTACTAAAATAAATATTAATAATTATTTTTCTTTCAAAAACGGATAGAACAGACAATTTTAGCTCTATCATATAATGATTTAATGAGTCCCTTTTTAACGTTTATGTTGTGATTTGATTTATACTTTAGATATCCGTTCGTATGTGTTGGTTTTTTGTATACATGAGTCCCATATTCACTATTTTCCTTTGAGATTAAAACATCCAGAAAAGGTAAGGAGTTATTATATTCCTTTTCCATTGTAAATTTCATTAACTCCTTACCTTACTCCTCTTAACTTTTATTTATATTAATCAGAATTGTGTCCAACAAATCTACATATCTCCAAAATATTGTGGATTTTAAATTTTGATTAGAAATGTTTGTTTTGAAGTCTTCCATCAATATATTAGCTAATAATGAATTTAAGGCAGAGCCCAAAAATTTTATTTACAGAAATCATTGTTTAGATGAAAATAAGTGTAGTAGTAATAAGTACATTTGTAAATAGACTATTTATTTATATAAAAATTTACTTAGATAATTAATATTACATATACAAATCAATGTATGTACCAAATTATATTAACATTTAAAAAATATAGATAATTTTAATAAAATTTATGATTTTTTTTCTATCTAATCGTTGTTTTATTTAAGTCCAGTATAGCCACTGCTATACAGATTACTCTTTATAGTAATACCTTTTCAGTTTGTTTTTGAATAATACATCTACAAAAAAGGTGCTACATATTTTATTCATTCATGCCTTATAATGTCATTTTTTTGGCTTGCTCAAAAACATTTTAGTGACCTTTTCTTTGTAATATCTATAAATGAATAATTTCCTGGTTTTGACATACATTATTCAGCACATTTATATAAAAAATTATTTTTTAAATGATAAATAGTTCCTCGAAAAGCTCTGGTTTTTTTAATATTTTTTGTTGCGCTTATGTTTCCAATAAAAATGTGTTATATAGAGTGTGATGTCATGTAAATACTGATGCCAACTTTATTATTTTAGATGGAACACCAGGTATATTATTTAGTTATTGGATCCAATACAAAATTTAAAGAACTGTAATATATTGGATTGCCATGCTTTTATTTAACTGTTTTTAATATACAATGTATTAAAAACACAATCCCTTCTATATTAACTTTTAAATATATAGCCTTTAAGATACCTACTTATGTACATTCCATTTCACACCTGGTAAAAATATAGGCAGTTTCATTTATTTGACATAATATCTATTTTAAAAGAATATAGGTGTATCTTGAGTACTATATACTTTATTAAAAACAAGTTGAGATAGAAAATGAACTCACTCTTCTTTATTGAAATTAGGTATAGAACCTTTTAAAGTCATAAGGTGACACGCAGAGAGTGATCTGTTCATTAACCCCCTGTATCCTAAAACAAGTTAATTAAAACTATAACATGCAATATATCAAAGTTCTGGGAATTTTGTGCAGAATCCAAAATTTTTTATAATATAACCAATGTTTCATTTAAAATAAGAAAGTTGGTATCATAGTAAAATTGATATATAACATCAGTCAACATGCTGTATATAAAATAACAAATTTTTATTGAAAAAAAAAATGCGCAAAAAGTATTTTTCAAAATACTTTTTGCGCATTTTTGGATACCAATGTTTAAAACATTTAACAACACTACCAAGAAATTACAATTATCTATTGTTCAAAAATAGATATGTGATCGAGCATTATTTTGATGATAATTTGCATTTCGAACATCAGTTGAATGCTGATGCACCTCACCTTCCCATTGCTAACACACATGAAATTGATGATATAGACGGTATTAGAAAAAGAAATGCCCTCATGCATAGTTTAAATTTGATTTTGTAATCTTATTTTTTGCTAAACTTTATTCACATACTTTCAAATTATTTGTTGTACCTAATAAAAAACAGCACCATTTTATAATAATCTATAATTTAAAAAACATTTTTGTAGTTGTACTTAAGGTAAAATATCAATACCTATTACCTTTTCATACATTTTAAATCAGCCTAAGATAGTGTACTACGAAGTAAATTGAATGAAGCCATGGATGAATTCTACATTTCTGACAAATTAATAAGATTATGCAGCAGTGAGATGAGCTGGAGTGCCTACTTTCTGACACAGTCTTGGAAAAGGCAGTTTAAGATGTCAAATTAGACAACAGGGGAAATATCTTTAACAAATCCGCCCCAAGCTTATACATATGATAAAGACCTAATTGCCCATAAAACAGACAATCTATGGTACTATATATATTAAGAAAGTTGTACAGGTGGAAAATTTTACAAAATCAAGACCTTTAATTAAAAGTTATTTGCAACAGTGCGGAAACTAAAAATGGCACTTAAGGTAAAGAACAAACTTAAATCAACCACTTTTAGAATAAAAAACAATCAAACAAAGATGCAAAATGAAGCCTATCACTTGTTCACTAAATTTTTTCATTTTTCACTTCAAAAACAAATAAAAATATGTAAAATAAATAAAATTTATATAACATAATAAAATAATTAAATAATGCCAATTCACTACCCTGTGGGAGCTTTTTTTGCCAATTTACCCAGATTTAGCCATACGGCTCACACTCCCTCTAAGGGGAAAATTCACTCATCCCAGATACCTACAAAAGGATTGAGCTCTGGTGGGATTCTTTCCGTGTTATCGAGCCCTAGGTGGCTTGATATGCTGGAGTATCTCCCAAAAATTTTCATACACATCTGGAGGTTGGGAGTAGTACAGCTTTCTGCATAGTCTTGTAGAAATGTTCATTCAGACCTAGCTTTTTTATGTTTTCTAGGTTCTTTGGAATGACTCCAGTAGTAGAGATAATAATATGTATTGTCTGGGTACTTTCCAATTCCAATTAACTATTATTATTATGATTATTACCAAGTTCACTATTTTATAGTGACCATCAGCTTCTAATTGTCAGAATATTGCAAATTTATGTATATATTTTAATTTTATTTATCATCCTATTCAAAAAATACCCAACGCTATTAAAGCTGAAGAATTCTGACCAATCAATACTTTACCTCTTGTAGAGAAAATATTAGAAATTGCTGTTTATGACCAATTATTGGAACATGTAACAAAAAATAAAATTTTAATCAATAATCAATCAGGTTTTCGTAAACAATTCTCTTGTGAATCAGTATTACAAGTTACATTATGTCACATAAAGAGTAATTTAGATAAAAATAAATACATAGTCAGTGTATTTCTTGATTTAAAAAGAGCTTTTGAAACCATTGACAGGACAATAATGATTTCTAAACTTAAACAGTATGGTATATAGGAGGTACAGTAATTGCGCGGTTAGAAAATTATTTACAAGATCGCAAACAGAAAGTTTGATTAAGACCAATTGTCATCTGAAATGGATAGTAACACAGGGATTCCTCAAGGTAGTGTATTAGGCCCCTTTTATTTATTCTGTACATTAAAGATATCAATATTTTTGTAATTTGCGAATTTATTAATCTTTTTCCTGATGATACTCGAATCTGTTGTAGTGATTAGCTATTCAAAAAATGAACACTATTTTAGATATGGTTAAAATATATTTAAAAATGAATAAACTGAAGTTGAATGTGAAAAAAGGCAATGGTTTTTACTACCAAACATAAATATAGCTTGCTTGATTCTGAAATCATAAATTTAAATATTAATAATGAAAAAATTGAAATTGTCACAAGTTTAATATTTTTGATTCCAGCTTGATAATATTCTGAATTTTGAGAGTCACTTCGAGTACATTCATAAAAAAATATCAAAAAAACTTTAGTTTCTGAGTAGAATATCTCAAAATTTATCAATTGAAACAAAAATAACAGTATATAACATAATTATTCAACCTCATTTTGACTATTGCTCATCAATTTTATATTTATTTATAACCTTAACAAACTTAACATGCTACAAAAATTACAGAACCATGGAATGAGAATAATTCTTAACACAAATCGCTGTAACCCAATTGGGACGATGTTAAATACTCTAAATTGGTTCTCTGTTGAAAATAGACTGTTTTATTTCACCACGATTTTGGTTTTCAAAATAGTAAATGGCTTATCACCTGAATATTTTCAAGAATTCATTTCTTTTAACAAAAGTATTCATTCTTATAATACCTGAGGTTTAGATGATATAAATGTACCTAGAACTATGTATAAAACTACTATAAATTCACTCTTTTTTACAAGCTTTGTTAATATTAATCAGTTACCAACATCTGTAAAAAAATGTACTAGTCTCCATAATTTCGAACTGTTACTTAACCAATATATCAAAAATTTATAGTGTACTTTCTTTATATTGTATGTATATTAGGGTTTCTATTTAAATAAAGATCTATCTATCTATCTATTTAATCTATATATTCTGCAAGCAAGAACTGTAGAAGAAAGAGCGAACCGACAACAAGAATATGAAACAATAAATAAAGCAGTTAAAAGAAATGCAAGAAGAGACAAAAGAAGATGGACTGAAGAACTGGCAAAACAAGCCGAAATAGCTGCACAACACAATAGAACTAGAGAGCTATACCAAATTACCAGACGTCTAACAAAAAGTGGGCCCAACTGTTCAAACGTCGTAAGATCCAAGACAGGAGAACTACTTACCACAACAAATGACCAAATAGAGAGATGGAAAAAGCATTTTTAAGAGATGCTATTTACGCCCAGGGATAACGCAGATGAAATTGTCGAAAATCCACAGAATATAGACTTGCGTATATCTTGCGACGCCCCTTCCAAAACAGAGATAATAACAGCTATCAAATCTCTGAAAAATAACAAGTCTCCGGGAATCGATAACATTGCTGCCGAAATGCTTAAAAGTGATCCGCATCTAACTGCTGAACTTCTGCTCCCCATAATCCGAGAGGTGTGGGAAACAAACCGCATTCCAGCGGGCTGGAAAAAAGGCATCATTACTAAGCTTCCAAAAAAGGGCAACCTCACACTATGCAAAAATTGGAGAGGAATAACCTTGCTTACCGCCATAAATAAAATCTTCACGACCATCATACTTAAAAGATTAACAAACAAGGTTGAATTTCGAGCTAATCAAGTAGGCTTTAGACCAGAATCCTCCTGCATAGACCACATTAATACTGTGAGGCTAATAATGGAACAATCGGTTGAATGGAACACACCCCTATACATGGTTTTTGTTGATTTCGAGCGTGCTTTTGACAGCTTATCTCATGATGCAATATGGAAAATTTTAGAGCTAAGAAACATCCCGCATAAAATAATTTCCATTATAAAGTTACTGTACACTGAAGCGAAATGCAGCGTGACACACAATGGGATCAACAGTGACGAATTTGACGTACTTACTGGAGTCAGACAGGGATGCGTGCTTTCTCCGTTTCTTTTTAACATAGCTCTAGACTATGTTCTCTCCAAACTAGACTCTGACACAAGAGGGATACAATGGACGTTAACCACACGCCTAAGCGATCTAGAATACGCCGACGATATCTGCCTGTTAGGACAAAGGTTCCAAGATGTGGCTGACCAATTGGAAACACTTTCCACTGAAGCCAATAAAATAGGTTTGAAAATTAATATTGGTAAAACCAAATCCATGAGAATAAATGCAAGAAACAACACGCTATTCACCATTAATAACATGCAGATTGAAAATGTGGAAAACTTTACGTATCTTGGAAGTGTCATAACAGAAAGCGGAGGTACAGAAGACGATATTCGTATGAGGATACGAAAAGCGCAACAAGCTTTCAGCATGCTCAACCCTGTTTGGAGGTCTGGAGAATACACTACGAGGACAAAGATCCGCATATTCCAGTCAAATGTCATGTCTGTACTACTTTACGGATGTGAAACCTGGAAAGCGACAAAAACCCTTACAGACAAACTGCAGGTCTTTGTTAATAAATGTCTACGAAGAATTGTTCGTATTTTCTGGCCTAACATCATCAGAAACGAAGACTTACTACACCTAACCAAACAAAAGAGGGTAGTAAATGAAATAAAGTCCAGAAAGTGGGGTTGGATCGGTCACACACTCCGAAAAAATAACTCCAGTATTGCAAAGACTGCCCTAGAGTGGAATCCCCAAGGAAAACGAAAAAAAGGTCACCCAGTACAAACTTGGAGAAGATCCATCATGGACGAGATAAGAAAACAAGGAAAGTCTTGGAATGAGGTGAAGGCCTTAGCGCAAAATAGAACCCGATGGCGCGTTTTCACTGAAGCTCTATGCTCCACTTAGGAGTTCAAGAACCTTATATATCTATCTATTTATGTAAGGAATTATTCCAGACAGTTTATGTTGACTCTCAAGATACTGTTGACTGAATGAATGAAAATGTCAATAATTATATCACCTGCAATGAAATATCTAGAACTAAAATATTTAATCAAATTCTTAAACTTCCTAATAAGATATTGTTGGGCTTAGATGAACTTTCTAATATTTTTCTTAAAGAGTGTGTATGTTTAAAAGTGTTGCACTTGCATTCTTTCTAATAGATCTAAGATATTTGATTGTTTGTTAAGTAAACAATTATCATGTACCTGTAAGAATCATCTTCCGGAACAACAGCATGGTTTTAATAAGAATATATCTACAGTTACTAATATGGTTACCTATTAGTTAGATATTATCAGGTACATGGAGAACAGCAAACAAATAGATGCCATATACAATAAATTTTTCAAAGGCTAAAGATTAGATAGAGTAAATCATCAAATAAGTACTGCTTAAAAAAATAGTAGCATCTAATTTTCATTTTCAAATGGATTGTTGGTTTAAAAGTCCTCTTTCTAGTCCACACTCAGAGATTTAAATTTAGTAATTGTTTTTTGGATGGACTATAGATGGAATAAGGACATGACAACACAGCCAAGCATCAACAGTAAGTTCTCTGGAGCTTTATTGAAGGCTATGTTCACATTGAACTTATTTTGTAAAAATACCCATAAAGCTAATGTCTCAAACAAATAAGATAGTGGTGAGATTATTCTAGATAAAAAGATTAAATCATTTACCTCATGGTCTAATCCTGCAACATTTAGGTATAAACATATCATGAAAATGTTCCAGCCAATCCAGAAAAGGTGCCATAATAAATACTAAAAGAACAATAAATATTATTTTAGTTTAAATAATTATGAATAAAAATGTATTACTTACAGCTATGATGTATTTTGGGCGGTATTGATAAGCACCAAAAAAACCAAATATGATAAATATTATTTCAAAGAAGTTGACTAATATTGGAATCCACAGAAAACCCAGGAAGTCAAACACCTGTCTTTCTACCACAGCTACCTGTAAGAGGAAGCCTCCATTAACATACTATTTTGTTATTATTAAACGTTAACTTACCATTTGCAAAAAGCATATTGAAAGGAAAACGTTTCTTCTTGAACAAATGCCCATGGCATTAAATTGTTTTTATTACTGTCTGAATTGTTATTTCTACTTACAGGATACAACTATTTCACAACCATCTTTAGCAGAAATTAAAGGTGTACATTAAGACTGCAGGCAGCGCACTGGATAATTATGATTCATCTTCATTAATGAGCTGAGAAAATGTTACTTTTTATTGTTTGGCTCTAGGTATTTTCCCATCACTCCGTCATAAGGTTTTGTCTCAGTCTAAAATAAGTCATAGTACAAAAACCTTTGATGTTGATGGCTGAAAATAAGTCATCATAGACAGTATAAAAAGAATTGATGGCTGACAACTGACAAGATGTGTTGACATTTCTTTGAAATACAGAGATGCGCGACCACTTTTATTTTTAAGTCACTTTCAGATTCAGATCTGTGATTTTAAAACGTGATTTGTTATTAAAGTTTATTTTGTTAAGGTTAAAAAAAAGAATTACCTACCATATATTTAAACTCTAAAGGTAACAAATGATAACTGTGATAAAAAATATTTATGTAATTATATATTTCTTGAAATTATCAAATTTTATTTCAAATATCGGAATCCAGGATCGCGGCACACTATTTATTATGAACGCTCATCTCTACTATTTAGTTCGCTATAATTGCTCAGTTGAGTTTATGCAGTTTTATGAATGTCCACATGTACAAGATATAGCTGGTAGGTTTTAAAAGTGACAGGTTCTACAGTGGGATTTAATCAATGAGTTTAATACCAATATAGTATAGGAGCCAGGGGGATTGAGTATGCGTTTTTATGTCCCCTATGTATCTTGACGTTTTTTTATGGTACGATGTTACCCGTCAGATAATTTGTTATTAACAATTTATTTGTTTAAAATTATTGTATCTCTTAAACTATTACAGGTATTTAATTTTACCAAAATGAAAATTATTCGTTGTAAACTGTGATCATTAGAACCAGAGTTATAACAAATTTCGTGAATAAAAAAATATTGGCAAAAAATGAGTGGATGACACAGGAAATCCTAGACCTGATGGAAGTTCGACGGAAACAAAAATAGAAGTATTAACAAATACCGAAATCAACAAACCTTTAAAAAGCAAAATTAAGCAAACTGAAGAATTTTGGTTCGAGAACTCATGTAAAGAACTAGAAGTCCTACAAAAAAAAACACGACAGTTTCAACCTCTACAAGAAACTTAAATATAACGTCTGAATACGGACACGGCAACTAAAGAAGAAGAAGAAGATAACCAAATTAAGAGTTAAATGTATTTAGTCTAATGAACATATTTTGGTCCAAATAACTTGTTTTATATATATATATATATATATATATATATATATATATATATATATATATATATATATATATATATATATATATGCATTCAACCGAAGCACAAAGGTGCCACCTGCTATGGTAGCGAAGAACTAAACAATTAAAGAAATAATTTTTTTCTATTCTCTGGCCTGTCGAAAATTTGCAAATATTAGTAGATTTAGCAAAAGTAAATGTCAATGCAGACCATAACCCGCTGATAGCTAGAATGCACGTGAAACTCGTGAAAAAGATTGTAATACCTAAAAACAAACCAACGCCAAAGTTTGATTATACAAAATTAAGAAATACGTCAAAAAGTGATCCAACAAGTCAACTCAAATCTAACAGAAGTAGGAGAAGAAATCTTAACATTAGAAGATGTCAATGAAAAGTGGAGCAATATTCAGAAGGCATTACTAAAGGCCGCAGAAGAAAAATTAAGGCCTGAAAAGACAAATAAAAAACAAAAGTGGGTGACTTCAGAAATTCTAGCATTAATGGAAGAGAGGAGACAAGTCAAAGAGAGAAATTTGTTGTATGGAATGGAAAGCAGAACACTAAAAGTGGATAATATAAAAAAGTTGGAACCATTTGAGATGTGGTGCTATAGAAGGATTTTGAAAATACCATGGATCAAACGAGTTACAAATGCAGAGGTGTCTAGAAGGCTACAAAAGGATTGCGAGGTCATAAATCACATCAAAACAAAACAGCTGGAATATTTAGGCCACATTACCAGAGGTGCTAAATATGAGATATTCAATCTCATAATGCAAGATAAAATCAAGACTAAAAGAAATATAGGAAGACGAAGAATTTCCTGTCTAAGAAACCTAAGAGAGTGGTAAACTTGTAGCTCAGTAGATCTTTTTAGAGCAGCTGCCAATAAGGTACGGATAGCTGTAGTGATAGCCAACCTCCGATGGGAGACAGACCTACAAGAAGAAGAAGCAAAAGCTTGCTATTGCTTTGATGAAATAAAAGCCAATGCCATAATATATCTGCTACAATTTATTGTACAAATTTTTTCAATAAACGTTCAGCTATTGTTAGTTTTATACATTAATGTTAAAATCACAGTACTCTATATTTACTGAATTTAAAACTATTTGGCACTGAGAAGTTTTTTTATTTAAAGCCTTTGTTTAAAAAAAACAAATTGACTGATGATATCAGAAAAATGGTATATCTGGCAACATTGCAAGCAACAAATTTGAAATTTCCATATTTCAGAATAGCATTTCAGGGTTTTTGTAAAATCCGGCCATCCAGTTAAGAGGTAATTAGGCGTCTCCAGACTTTTTGCCCGCTCTGTATGTTTATTGTTTTAGCTTACTACCTACAAGTAACGTAAACAATATTGTTTTCTGCTGTTATTTTTTTAATAATATCGTACTGTGTGATTATTCTTTCCTATAATAATATGTTTGTTTTTTGTCTTTTCACGTTAGTTTTTAAATAATTTTTTCTATTACTAATTTCTTGAATATCAGCATTAACACACTATCTTGTAACTAATGATATCATTTTAAATCCTCCTGACGTATGAATATATTACAGTAATTAGTCTTAACGATTGGAAAATAATGTGTTATTAAAAACACCCATTAAATTCACACGGCCCGAGGATTTTATCTTCTTCGATATCGGCCAGACTTTGCTGTAGGCACCACACTGTTATATTCCTAGTATGATGGCTCTATCTATACTAAGCACTGGCCTTGAAAGTTCAAAATATTAATAAATTGACGAAATAATCCAACAATATTTAATAAACATCTTATCGCTAGTTAATACCCATCATTTTATTCTAAATCTATATCGTTTGTTTTCTCCAGAACCGTATTTTGGGGAACTAGATCATTTCAAAAATATAAAAAGCCTCCCCGTAATAATTATATGTAAGGTATGGTACTGTGATTCCGAGACTAGCAAATCTTTGCATCTTGCTTAATTTCAGGATGGCAATTGTTTGCTGCACTTTTGGCCACCATATCACTGATGCATATCTAACTAATTATTGGTTTTACCACAATTTTATAAAACCAATATAACATGTCTGGATTTAAACCCCACATTTTTCCGTGACTGCGTCTAGCAACCATTAACGTAATCACTGCTTTTGGTTATTCGTTCTATTCTGATTATTACAAGTATTGAGTCTAATATGACACCAAGATATTTTAATTCGCTAGCCAGATTTAGATTTGTATCATTTAGACATCCTAGAAGAACTATTATACGCTATAAATATAATGAAAAATGGTAAATCACCGGGTCCAGACGGGCTCACATCAGAACTTCTTAAGCTTGTGGAAGGCGAATCAGTGAATATTCTACTCGACCTTTTTAACTGCATCTACAAAAGAGGAGAAATACCAAAGGAATGGCTACTTTCAACTTTTGTAACCTTACCAAAAAAGGCAAATGCAAAACAGTGCACTGACTACCGCACTATAAGCTTAATGGGGCATACATTAAAAGTATTCATCAAAGTAATCCACTCAAGAATTAACAGAAAACTAGATGCAGATATTAGTAATACTCAATTCGGATTTCGGAACGGGTTTGGAACAAGAGAAGTACTATTTGCACTTAACGTCATATGCCAAAGATGTCTAGATATAAACCAAGACATATATATGTGCTTTATTGATTACAACAAAGCGTTTGATAAAGTTCGTCACGATCACTTAATGAAACTGCTAGTAGAAAAACACTTGGATAAAAGGGACATTAGAATTATCTCTAAGATTTACTATAACCAGAAAGCAAATATCCGAATAGAGCAAGAGACAACGGAGGAAATCGAGATCAAGAAAGGCGTAAGACAGGGTTGTATACTCTCACCGACCTTATTCAATCTATACTCCGAAGACATTATAAACACAGCACTTTCGGATCAAAATATAGGTATTAAGATAAATGGCATCCGAATAAACAACTTGAGATATGCCGATGACACGGTACTAATCGCAGAAACTTGGGAAGATCTTCAAATACTAATTAACAAATTAGTAGAATGCAGTGAAGAACACGGATTATCACTTAACATAAGCAAAACAAAAATAATGCTAATATCTAAATCACCACAAAACTTCCCTGACATAACCGTGCATGATCAAAGAATCGAACGTGTAAGAAGATATAATTACCTGGGAACTGTTATCAACGAAAATAATGATTGCTCTGAAGAAATCAGAACCAGAATAGAGAAAGCTAGAGCCACATTTACTAAATTGAAAAAGGTGTTCTGCGGAAGAGATCTAAGTCTAAAACTTAAAATTCGCCTTTTGAGATGTTACGTTATGTCAGTTTTCCTCTACGGGATGGAAACATGGACATTTAAAAAGATCGATACCAAAAAGATAGAAGCATTTGAGTTGTGGATGTATCGTAGAATATTAAGAATATCCTGGACAGAGAAAGTAACAAATGTGGAGGTTTTGCGGAGAGTGCGGAAAGAGAAAGAGCTGATACTTACTGTTAAAAAGCGCAAACTACAATATTTGGGACATGTTATGAGGGGAGATAAATACCAGTTGCTGCAATTGATTATACAGGGAAAGATAATGGGAAAGAGATCTATAGGAAGAAGAAGGCATTCATGGTTGAAAAACTTGAGAGAATGGTACAATTGCACCAATTACCAACTGTTTAGATCTGCAGCATCAAAAATACGCATAGCTTTGA